ACTTGAAAGGTTAACTCACATTACTATCAGAGAGAAAGTGAGTGAATTGTGCAAGAATGAAAAGGCTGCCACCGCATTAAACACAGTTCCAGCTCTTGAGGAATTGGGAAGCTGAAGATATTATTGAGATTTGTGAGAAGTAACTGCAGTTTAACAAACTACAGTTTTCTAAAAAGTACTAGTGAAAAGAGCCAGTTATACCAGGAAAAAATTAAACATGTTTAATAGCTGAGTGATGAGTGAAGGTGACAGCAGAAACCCATGATAATATATTTGCAAAAATTAGCCACATCTCCTGCCAAAAGCAAATCATCGGACCTACCAATATAAATTCAAGGTCTGAAATAGGAATCAGGTCTGTTGACAATTTTGTAACATGTTTGAATAATGCAGCCAGAAAATATAAAGTCAAGGACACAGGTGAAAGGTTACTGGATTAACTCAACTGGAGTCCTGCACATCCTGAATTGCAAAACAGAATTAAATGAAAAAGACAAACTCCCGATATTGTTGGCTATAGATACTTCCAGAGCACACAAATTCACAAGTGGACAGATGAAGATGCTGACTACCCAAATAGCGAGCCTTTAAGAGAAAGGCAATGCAGTTGATGCAGTTAAAAAGCAACAAAATAATAGACACCCATTAGAGAGGAAGATGTGCGGAAGATGTGGACAATTATAACATTCCCTGCCCTCAAAGCGCCGGGGAACCGGATTCAATTCCAGCTTTGGGCAACTGTCCGTGTGGAGTTTGCACTTTTTCCCCGTGTCTGCATGGGTTTCCACCAGGTGCTCTGGTGTCCTCCCTCAGTCCAAAGATGTGCAGATTAGGTAGATTGGCCATGCTAAATTGCCTGTAGTGTCCAGGTATGTGTAGGTTAGGTGGATTAGCCATGGGAAATGTAAGAGTTATAGGGTAGTATTCAGGGATGTGCAGACTAAGTGGGTTAGCCATGGTTAATGCAGGGCTACGGGGATAGAGTTGGGGAGTGGGTCTGGGTGGTATGCTCTTTGGACGGTCAATGCAAACTCAATGGGCTGAATGGCCTCTATCTGTAGTGTAGAGATTCAATGATTCTATGATTGATAAGAGTTCACAAACAGAAGGGAATATGGAGGTGTGGAGGGCTAAATCACTGGGAAAAACTGTTGTCAGAACAAAGAAAGTAGAAAAATCCAAGTCAGAGCAACAATAAACGCATAAGAAAATAAACCGACACATCGACCCCCTGAAAGATGATAATGAGTTTTATTTGAGCTGTGACTCTTTTTCTGTAATCCCTCTTCCCTTCCCATATTTGCTTTACCACCTCCCTTTGGGTCTATTCTGTAGTCAGCTTGGTTCTCGATTATTTTTATGACATGGCACCTACCATGAGCACACGTTTTCTTCTTTGTCTTAATTTCTATCTCCTTTGTCATCCAGGGGTCTCTGGATTTGTTCGTTCTAGCTTTCGCTTTTGGGGAATATACATTGACTGTGCCTGAACAAATTCCGCTTTGAAGGTAGCCCTTGTTCAGTGACTATTTTGTCCCATCAACCTTTATTTATCCTGCCCAGTTCTATTATTTCGCCATTGAAGTCCATCCTCCAACAGTTGATTATTCTTACTCTGGAGTGACCAATGTAATTTTCTCCCATCATCCCAAACCTTATCATATAATGATTATGTCTCCAATGTTCCCCCATTGCCACTTGATCTACTTGGGAAGCCACATTCCCAAGAATTGGGTCCAGCAGTGCCCCCTCTCTTGTTGTAGCATACACACATACTACTGTAGGAAACTCTCCTGAAAACTGTCACAACTCACTGTAGGGAATCAAGTTCCTCTGTTCCCAGAGTTATTACAAATGTGAAACTGTGATTAAAACACCAAATTTCCCAATTTTAACCAATTCAGATTAAATGCACCAGGCTTGTTCCATAGTCAAGGAAATAACTATTAATGCAATCAAGCTGTTTTTAACCAATGGCAAAAAATAGACAAGTGGAAATTCAAAGTATAACGCTATATCTTAAACTGTACCCCTCTCTTACAATTCCCATTCACACATAAAACAAACACACATAGAGACAAACAGAAAATACTAGACAAACTTAGGTCTGGCAGCATCTGTAGAGAGAGAAACTGAATTAACATGTTGAGTCTAGTATGATTCTTCAGAAGAAGTAAGGGGTGATCATCTGTAGCACTGGCTATCAAGGTGATAGCTGTGCTTAATTTTTATGTGACTGTCTACTTCCGAGAATCCAGTGGGGACCTGCCTGGGATCTCTCAATCCTCAACTCACAAATGTATCAAGATGGTTACAGATACAATTTGTGCAAGATTAAACAATTCAGCTTGTTTCCAAACTGTATGTTGTGCCAAAACAACTGGCTTCCCCTGTATACAGGGTGGTCAAGCTTGTCTATGTGCTATGCTGACAGCACCATATCATAACGTCAGCCTTTATCAAAAAGAATGGGTTCCATTTGCTCAATCTCCAAGTCTTCTATGATCATCATTCTCACATCTCAGAAGTCTGTGCCAGATACCTGCCATGATACCTAATCCTTGAGAGCTCTCAGGTTCCTGCTTCATTCCAAGAGCTGGATTCCTCACAAGGATGGCTGCTGGGAGATGAGGGCAATCCTTGTTGACCTTGGTTAATGACTCCATTACATAAGCTTTTGACTGAATATGTGCACAGAGGCAGTGCAGTACGTTCTTTGACCAGGGTCATTGTGGATGCCTCCTGGAGATGTGATTCAAATGCTTTGAAGAGGGGTGGCGTCCTTGCAGTACCTTCCAGATAGAGTGTGTCGCATAATTCTAGCTTGCTGCACTCTGAAGTGGATCAGGCAAAGAGGGAGTGTGAGGAGGCTGAAGAACTAGTAGGGCAGTAGCAGTCCTCCAATGAGGAAGATGAGGACACAGAGTGGGATAAGTGCTACAGAGCCACTAATTTACACAAAATAAAATCTGCCCTCTTTTTTACTCATGGGACGTGGACATTGGTGGCTCGGCCAGCATTTATTGCCCATTCTTAGTTGCCCTTGAGAAGGTGGTGGTGAATCACTGCAGTCCATTTGATGTATTAGGGTAGCACTGTGGCTCAGTGGTTAGCACTGCTGCCTCACAGCGCCAGGGACCTGGCGATTCCACCCTCAAGCAACCATCTGTGTAGAGCTTGCAGATTTTCCCCGTGTCCATGTGGGTTTTCCTTGGGTGCTCTGATTTCCTCCCACAGCCCAAAGATTTGCCGGGTAGGTGGTTTGGCCAAGCTAAATTAGCCATAGCATCCAGGAATGTGCAGGCTAGGTGAATTAGCCATGGGAAGTGCAAGGTTATGGGGGTAGGGTAAGGGAGTGGGTCTGGGTGAGATGGTCTTCGGAGGGTTGGTTGGACTCGATGGGCCAGATGGCCTGCTTCCACACTGTAGGGATTCTATGATTCTAGTACACCTATAATCTTAGAGAGTTCAGGATTTTGAACCCTAACCTACCAAGTGTAAAATCAAAATTACACAAAGATGCTGTGCAAAGTACACATTTCCTCTCATTCCTCCAATACCAGGATACCAGACAGGCGTACTGGTCAAACTGAGATATCTGAGAGGCTTTGAAATTTCAAATGGGAGTATGTTGGAATCCTGGCAGACTTCTCAGATATGGACCAGGGGATGAGTAGAAGTCAGGATTTCACACCATGCTTTCTCATTAGCATAACCTCACAGACGAAACAAGCTTGCATTAACCCATATCAAAGGGCATGTCTTGATATCTCGCTAGGAATTCTGCCTTTTATGTTTCCTACAACCTTGAATAGCAAATTTCCTGTACCTCAGTATGGGCAATAGTGGAACTGGGACTGGCAGCATTGCTTGGGGTTAACCATGCTGTGTCTCTGATCTGACAGGACTGATTCTAAATTTGTAAGAGATCTCTGAAGCATTCAATTTGATATTTTGTGATTGGTTCCTGGGTGTCTTTCACTGTGTCAATCTCTTCTTCTTTCATTTGCTTTTTCCTCTGGCTTTGTCCTGCTAAATCTGATGTTTGTATGTGCCTCTCTCTTTGTCTCTCTCACTCAAAAGGAACTCAGATTAGGATGAGGTAAGGCTTTAATTTTACTATCTTATAGATTAATATGCTTTTTGACATTTATAGAGTGGAATTTGAACAGCAACAATAGGTACACATTCCATATATTTAGTCAAGTTTCACTTTCTTTCTTGTTCTCTCTTCAAAAATAGGCTTTAAAAGAAAATAGCCTATTGTATCTGAATGAAGCTCTGGAAATTTGTCTTTAAATAGTTTTCAAAAACTGGCAATTAAATGTTCACGGACACAAAAGCAGAAGCACTGTATCAGATGACCAGCTTAAATGTCATTGGTCTGCAGCACAAGACAGAACCATGGAAAAGCTTATATAAATTAGGACACTGTGCTAGTTTTAGCTAACATTTTGATTTTGATCTGTTCCAAGTCTTACTCAGCAATTCTTACTTACCCTGCAACTCATGTGTTAAGATGCAGAAAAGACACCTCACAAGCCTTCCTATTTAAAGGGATCATGCAGTACTTAGAGCATAATGGTTGGCTTGTCATTTTGTGATGCTTGCTCTGTTACTTGGTATGTTTCGGTGTGCTTTCTAACTCAGGGAAATTAAGATTTTGCTGATATTGGATCGTTAGACATTTTATGAACAGGTTGATGGCAATAATCAATGGTTTGATGGGACCACTTTTGGAGCTGAAAGGATCCAGAATGAGAGGAGTACATGATCACCTTGGACAAACTGTGAACCAAAATAACGAAATTTATCAAACATCTCCTGAATGAAGACATTACCAAGTTTCACTTCTTGCAACTTTTATTTTAACACAATTTAGACTTAATGCAAATTAAACATGAATTAATATACAAATTATACTTTGAACAATAAGATAAATTTCATTTTAAATAGCAGATACAACAAAGGCACATTCTACATAACCACAAGCTTCACTCCTGACAGATATGTCGCACCATGTGCAGTTCCAAGTTCTCTAGGTCTTAAGTCTCTTGTATGTCTGGTCTTTAACTTTCCCTCTTAATCAAGTTGTCCCTTGAGTTGTATTCTCTTGCAGCCATATTCCACCAGAGGTTCCCAGAGAAAGTCACAGCAGCATTAAAGGACTTGCTCAATCTGGTGTTCAAAGTTTTGAGATGCTTTGCCTTTCCAGGGTAATTTGAGGTAGATTGGATACTTTTCATGTCTGAAAGTGGCGGTCTGCTGTGTCTTACTTGCAAGATTAGTTATTCCGATCAGATCGTTGCACATCGCCTTGCCAAATAGTTTTGACATGCTCTAGTTCAACGTTGAACATGCACGGTGAGCAAACAGTTAATGTAATTTTTACAAGATTGCTGATAAAGTCAATCTTATACTATGTAGGGGTATAGGAAGACAAATGCATACATAGATTGACTGGTGAATGGATGCTGTGGCGCTACTATTCAGTTGCTATAAGCATTATTTTCCACTAACAGGATCCTGCTATCGGTCCAAAATGACATTCTGCCTGCTACACAATTGAACGCCATCATACTGGTACATGCTTGGTATGTCCCAATAATTGTTTGATGAAGACAAACACATGTTCCTCTGGTTGTATATTATAGACTGAATACAAACCATATGAAGCTAGGATGGCCTTGCAACACCCAAAGCAAATATCTACCATTAAGTGTGATTCCATGGTTCAGTCGCACTTACTCAATATTCCTGACTGGGCTAACAGCTATACTACAAACCAGGTCACATTAAACAATCAAACTCATAATGCGGTTCATTAATGCTTTCTAGAAGCAACATGTTTTAATACTCAGGAACCCATTCGCTGCAAACAACAGGAGTATTTTCAGCCTTGAACCATTTTTGATTTATCCAGAAGCATGCGAAGCTTATAGTTTGCCATTGTTTTCTTCATGGCAACGTCTTGGCTGGAGACAAGTTGCCTCTGCATCACTGTCTCTTTTCATGCCAAATTGTTGTGTTGGCTTGAAGTTTGGCACTCCTGCAGCTGTCCTGCTGGGTGCAAGAGAAAAAGCTTTGGCATGATGTCTCTGTTTGGAGCAAGATTCAAGGTATTACCATGCGAAAATCTATTTCTACTTAAGTAGATTATTTATTTAGATGCTGCGTAGGGCGCACTGAGATGACAGAGGAGAAAGATTACATGCATCCAAATAAATAATATAACAACTTTCTAACATTAATCAAATCAAGCTCTATCTAACTGTCATATTAACCGAGAAGGTTGCAGCTAGGCATTTGTTATGGAAAGTGTATTTTATACAGGTTTTTGGGAAACTGTATCAACATTAATATGTCAATCAATGAGTGATTTAAGAAGAGGTGTATTGCACATGCTGAAGAAGGGTGATGGCAGCTTCACAACGAGTTTTAATGACGTCACTACTGTCAAAGTATTAAGAATGCCTTGTGTTAACATGACAGGATATAGAAAGGAATTAATAATTTAAGCATTGAATTTCTTCACCCAAAACCATATATCAGCAGCTGAAGCTTAATACCAGCTTACATCTCAACCCACTGCTGCACAATTGGCATTTATTGCTCCATCTGTGTAAAGTTGAGACAGACGTGTATCAAAAAACATGACAGCAGAAAGTAAGGGTTTGCAGACAGGAAACACCACAGCTGTAACATGTTTATTTGGCTATGAAAAATACAATATTATGCATGTAAAAAGAAGGAAGAGCTCTCACATTCACTGTTGCAAACTTAAATTAGGACATCTTATTTTGCTATTTGAAAATTTGAATTTCTAATTTTTTGTATCTCTCTGAGGCTTTCTATGTGACACTTCTGCAACATTCATTAAATCACTGAATACCTCACTATCAACATCCTGGGGGTTACCACTGACCAGAAACTGAACTGGACCAAGCACGTAAATATAGTGGCTACAAAAACAGATCAGAGGTTAGGAATCCTTCAACAAATAACTCACCTCCTGACTCCCCAAATAAAAACTGAAAGAACTGCGGATGCTGTCAATCAGGAACAAAAACAAATTTGCTGGAAACGCTCAGCAGGTCTGGCAGCATCTGTAAAGGCAAAAAACATATTTAACGTTTTGAGGAAGGGTCACTGGACCCAAAATGTTAACTCAGTTATTTCCTTCAGAGATGCTGCCAGACCTGCTGAGCTTTTCCAGCAACTTCTGTTTTTGTTCCTGACTCCCCAAAGCCTGTCGTTCATTTACAAGGCACAAGTTAGGAGTGTGATGTAATACTCCCCACTTGCCTGGATCAGTGCGGATTCAACAACACTCAAGAAGCTTGACAACATCCTGGAAAAGGCAAACTGCTTGATTGGTACCACATACACGAAAATGCACTCTCTCCACCACCAACACTCAGTAGTAGCGGTGTGTACTATCTACGAGATGCATGGCATAAATTCACCAAGGATCTTTAGACAGCACCTCCAAACCCACAAACACTACCATCTAGAAGGTCAAGGGCTGCAGATACATAGGAACACCACCAAGTTCCCTTCAAAGCCATTCACTTGGACCTGACTTGGAAACACATAACTGTGGGTCTACCTACAGCACATGGACTGCAGCAGTTCAAGAAGGCAGCTCAGCACCACCTTCTCAAGGGAATCTAGGGTTGGGCAATAAATGCTGGCCAGCCAGCAACGTCCACATAGCTTGAGTCAATTAAAAAAGAAACAAAATATCATTCTATGTTCCTATCTCATTTCTCGCAGTTCCCCAAGTATTACATTCACAGAGCTGTTCGGCAACCGAGTAGGAAAGAAATCGAGTAGAGATTTTTATAAATGGCAGCTAATTGGGGACATTATCAGATCCATTTAAGTTTATTTTAAACAATAATATCAGTGATGCTGAATACGCTTGTCATCCATAAGCTAACTCCTCACCATCACTGAAAATCTCATTAAGAAATAGTAAAGGAGGTACCTATTCAAAATTTTCTGCCTTTTTAATGGTGTTAAACATATTAAAATTGAGTCTTTGCTGGGCCTGTCACTCTGGGCATAAAGCCTACTTCTTTTCTCCAAGAAGGCTTTAGATCTGACTTTGGCCTCAGCAACACCATTTGCGAATGTGCCTATCTTTAGTGTCAGAATGGCCCTTGTACATTCCAGGGCCTGAACGTGGCACTTGTTTTCTCAATGTGCAATTACCATGTCCATTTTAAATTTCAGTTTCCTGAGTTAATTTTATTAACCTCAACCTGCTTCCCAATCCCAAATGAGTGATGATTATTACATTATGGTGCTAAAGCAGCTGCTTCTATATCTAGTAGAATGCTGACAGAAACTTTAAAAAGTGTCTGATGTTGTTTTTCAAACAACAATTTTAATTTGAAATTCTGAAGCATAGACTAGATATTTTTCATAAGGTCTTTGACCGTGCAGCAAAAAGGAAATGATATTCAAGATGTTGCTACCTGATGACAAATGAAGCAATATTTGTTTTATTACTTTTATTGATTGAATGCCTTACTGTGCCTATAAAAATAGTTTTAATTATTTTGTAACTACATATTGCTTCGCTTCAACATAAAATAGAAAAGAATTGTAAACTGGTTTATATCCTGAATCTCACCTCTTTCCAAACGACTCCAACACTCACAGGCAGTCAGCAGTTTTAGAACTGCCTTTCCAGTCTTTCCCTCCATCCATAAAACCCATTTTTTTTTTGTGATTGCTTCAGTCTGCCTTTCTATATGTGTCTATCTGTTTGTGTGTGTAGGGTGAGTTTTATAAAGGGACTGGTATTTTAATGATTAGAGTTATATGTTGACAGTTCATAGTTGTTTACCTGTCATCAGGATCTATTTATTTGTAATAAATAGTAATTCGTGTTAAGTACAGAAACTGGTCCATGCGTTCTGTTAACCTAGTTCTAAAAATGCAGGTAATTTGGGAAATTTTGCTTTATAAAGTCTTTAACTTTTGTGACAACCCTGGAAATAGCTGGGATTTATTTCCAGCGTGCAACACAGTGAGGCGTGACATTTTCACTAAATTCATGTTCTGCCTTCAAGTTCAACAAAACATAATTGGTCAAGGACTAGATATCTCTTGGCATTTCCAGAATCTCTGAAATAGGCTTTGAATGAAGCCTTTGCAACCCTTCACAGCACATCAATAGCAGGCTTCATTCTGCCTCGGTCCTTACATGCCACCGGGATCAGGAACGATAATGTAAGAAATTTTTGGTATACTTTTTGCTCCCCAACTTGGTTATCTTACACATTAGAAGGCAAAGTACACTCCTCAAGCCCTACTTTAACTTTGCAAAACTGAATGAATTTTCAGTATGTTAAAATTGGGTGTCTTGTCCATTGTGCGGGGGATAGTGCACAACTACATCTGGCACATTGAATTGAGATGCAGGGCTGGGAAGATAAAGGAGGGAAGTGAAGATTTAGAGAGGTGCTGAGTGGGAGTTTGGGTAAGTTCAAAACTTATGGAGTTGACAGGGAAGGCTGCCAAAACAGGGATGTGTAAAGTTGGGGGTCTATCAAGATTAAGATGCTGAGCATGAGATTCACAACTTGAAGAGGAACGATTGTATCCTTCCAACATGCTGTAAATAACAAACATACGACTGAGCTGAAAGTAGCCGCCACTATTCCCAGAGGTGTTTCATTCTGTGACGAAGAAAGCTTCATTTTTGAATGCTGTGAAGCCCTTCAAAGGGCAACAGCTATACTCTAAAGCTGAAAGACACCTGTGAGCACTGCATGCCCTTTGAATTTTTGGCATTAACGTACTGGATGCATTGCAAATCCCAGCCCAAAACACTCATGACCAAGTCATGCCACATTAGAAATTAATGTCACTCATGGCTGTGATGCACAAGTACTGTGTTGCAGCCTGGAAAAACTCACTTTCATTGACAAGTAGCAATCACCTTCCAGTTCCCATTGCCTACACATGATGTAAGAACTGCTCACATCTTGCCCTTAGCCAAGCTGTTCCATCATCACCAGCAATGTCCTCGCATTTCCTGTACACAAAAGAAGGACAAAATCCAACCCAGCCAAGTACCACTCCATCAGTCTACTCTCGATCAAGAGTAAAGTGATGGAAAATGCCATCAGCAATGCTTTTAAGCAGCACGTTCTCAGGAATAAAAATCTCAGAGTTAGGGATTGCATGTTTAAGACAGAGATGAAGAGGAATTTATTCTTTCGCAGCATAGTAAAACTGTGGAATTCGCCACCAATGAGAGCTGTTGAGCTTCATTAATTAAGTGTACTCAAGACTGAGATAGAGAGATTTTTAAACAGAAAGGATAGATAAGTCTGGCAGCATCTGTGAAGGAAAAAACAAAGTTAACGTTTCAGAGCGAGGGAAGTGATTGCTGCCCCTTTGGCAATGATGTTTGTGTCCTCACTGTCCACTGGAGTAGTACCAGATGATTGGAAGGTGGCAAATGTCATTCCCTTGTTCAAGAAAGGGAATAGGGATAATCCTGGGAATTACAGATCGGTCAGTCTTACTTCTGTGGTGGGCAAATTATTGGAGAGGGTTCTGAGAGATAGTATTTATGATTATTTTGAAAAGTACAGTTTGATTAGAAATAGTCAGCATGGCTTTGTGAGGGGCAGGCCATGGTTCACAAGCCTTATTGAATTCTTTGGGGATGTGACAAAACACATCGATTATGGCAGTGGATGTGGTATATATGGATTTTAGCAAGGCATTTGATAAGGTTCCCTATGGTAGGCTCATTCAGAAAGTAAGGAGGCATGGGATTCAGGGAAATTTGGCTGTCTGGATACAAAACTGGCTGTCCAATAGAAGACAGAGGGTGGTAGTAGATGGAAAGTATTCAGCCTGGAGCTCGGTGAGCAGTGGTGTTCTGCAGGGATCTGTTCTGGGACCTCTGCTGTTTGTGATCTTTATAAATGACTTGGATGAGGAAGTGGAAGGGTAGGTTACTAAGTTGCCGATGACACGAAGGTTGGTGGAGTTGTGGAGAGCTGTTGTAGGTTGCAACGGAACATTGACAG